GCACGCATTTCTGCTTGAATTTAGAACTGCAGTACTACTAAATTCTCGGGATGAAATCCTAGAATCCTTGCTGAAGTCAGCCAGAGCACTGCCTCTCATTCCAGCAGGACTGAGATTTCGGATTTCTGCCCAGTCCAGTCCTGTTTTACCCCTCCTGAGCTGCTGTGTTCTGGTGGCTGATCTCATTACATTGCACTGTTTCACGTTCCTTTCTAATGAATGAAGTCAAATGTGTATCCATTATCCATGCAGACTCCCTCCATAAAAAAAGGAAGGCAACCAAACCCAAACATTACAAATGAATGTCCAGCTTTATCTGAATAACACAGAGGTGACTCAATGACTATGGAAAAACAAATATATTTGATACTAGAACTATTCAACTCCAGATGAAGAAGAGTTGAAGGAAGCAGAATGCAATTAGATACAATCATGAAAGATATACAGGAAATTACAGCTGATCATTGATATTTTTCCATCTAACATTTGCCTTTCACTGGAGGAAAACTTTTAACTGAAAATAACCACCAGAATTATGTCATGTCAAGCAAAATGTTGATTTCTTCATTATGGGAGAGAAAAACAATACAAAAAACCTAACAACCCACCCTGAAGGGGTTTTCAGGGATGAAAGATTCAAAGACTGAAAACTGTTTCTTATTTCAATGAGAAAAATCAAAATTTCCATGAATAAATTCCTGGATGAAATAGTAGAAGTCGTCTTTATCCTAATGATGACATCTGTTTGCAATAACACTCCATGCCAGTAAACGATGTTATTTTAACTAATCTATTGGCGTGGCGATGAAAGTGACAGTAAAATGTTGATATGGAAGCTAATTTCTGTGTTTGGCCTTGGGATCCATCTTCACAGACAGAGGGTGAGCGCAGAAACTATTTTTGGTAACATCATAGCCATCCAGATTTAATTCTGACACTTCTCTGCCTTCCTGAAATCCAAGGAAGACATCTGGCTGCATTTTCTGTGTGTGTTTCTGAAGTGCCATTGGAATCATTTGCATCAGAAGTGAATCTGGAGATAGAAATGTGACGAGAAGGTGCATGTGAGGAGGAGGGGACCCAAACCCTGGGTTTATGAAGAAAAAAAGGAATGGCAGCTCCTCAATGTATAATGTGCTTACTAAAAGCTGGGAATAAGATGTCATTCTGAATGTGTTTCTGTGACCTTTTAACTTCGTTTAGTGCTTCTATGTTGTTCAGACCCATGATTTATATGGAACTATGCATGTGCATGGCCTGTGAGGAACGAGAGGGTGGCTCTGCCTGATTCCCAGGGAAGAACCTGCCAAAGGCTTTTGCTGTCCCTGCCACTGGTGTGCTTCTTGCAGCCCTTCAGAAGAATAACTGGCTGAAGTGTTTGTGAGTTAATCTGGTATTATTTAGGGTGGCCACAGTCTCAGCTGGAAGAGTCTGTTTAGGCAGAAAGTAGCCCTGTAGCCTTTGTGTTTGCAGCCATTCTGCATAACCTACTTCTGTCTCACTGTCTTCTGCTGGGAGCCAAGCCTGTGAGTTACTGGCAGCATGCTCAAGTTGCAGACTTGCTAAATGAGAATGAAAACCCCCATGGCAGTGCTCCTGATGTTCAGAGTTACCTGCAGGCTGTCCTCGCGCTGCAGCGGCCAGGCTGTGCCTTGTGCCCGGTGCGTCGCGCGGCCTCCGCGTGCTCAGGCATGGCTGCAGCAGGATCCTCCAGCCAGGAGTGCTGGCCCGGGCTCTCCGTGGCCTCCCCACATGGCAGCCATGTGGGCGGAAGGCAGACGAGCGGCGGAGCGAGCTGGCTTGTGGCTGCTTCGCCTCGGAGAGCGCTTTTTTCCAAGCGGCCTAAACACGGGCCTTAATCATCAGCACTTCTGAAGCACTCATCGTTCTTGTATCCAGGCAAGGAGCCTTGTTATTACCCCTTGAGAGATACCACATTCCCTCATTTCCGAGGGAAGGGGCCTGCCAGCAGAATCAATACAGGCACAGCTTGGTTTGTTTCGGATTAAAAATGCCCTCAGGGAAGGTCTGAGTTTGTCTCCAGCAGGGTATGGGGAATAAACCCCTGCTGTTGGTAACTTCCAGGAAATGAATAGGTGGTCACCTTCACTGAGTACTCTGCTCTGAAAATATTCTGGGCCTGGGCTGGGAAACCCTCCCTCTCAGGCTTCTTGTTGATAAAAGGGTGTCACAGGAGGTCACTGACCGCCCTTCACTGACTGTTCTGAACCTTCTGTGTGTGGGGGTGGGTCGTGGTGACTTCAGTCCTTGGGGTGGTGGCTTCCCCTGGGTTGGACAAGCCTGGCTGGCTTGGCTCCAGCCAAATGCTGGAAGAAATTCTTGGAACAAAAGGAACCACAAAACAGTGTCTGCAAGGCCTTCCAGAGCATGACTGCCCACACCCTGACCTGCTCTGCTCTGAGCTCCCAGCCATGGAAGGAGCAGAAGGAGCTGAAAGGAAAAGTTGCATTTCCAACAAAATTTAAATTTGCCTCCTGTATTTCAGAGAGTTACGAGATGCACATACTGTAACTGCACACACTCCTTAAAGGGATCCATAAACACCACGTGCCATGGCTGTCTGCACAGGGAAACCATGGGATGCTGCAGCCCAGGTTGTGTATGAAAAGGCCAGCCATCGAGGGGGAGGAAAATACTGTATAGATGTGATATCACAAGTTATATAATATCATGGCCAAATCTCCGCAGCTGGATATCATCAAATCAAAATTAGAAACTCATTGGAAGCAAAGGACAGTCTTTGCACAGATTGCCCATAAATCTGCAATAACTAGTTCTCCCTGGGCGTAACATCAAAAACATTTTTTAGTGTCTCATTAGTAAGAAAATTTATTGCTCAACTATTGAACTGTGTCGATTTTTGAAAACATTGTGTGAATAATTCCAGAAAGCATGTGTTTGATTTGTATTCGTTTTGTGCCGCTGGATAGAAAAAGTGGCTTTTCCCCCATGATGAAATGACACTAATCATGAAATTATAAGGTGAAGCATGTCTACAGTTTCAGAACAAGGTAAATTTTATAAATATGCTAATGCCCTCCCTTTCCCATAAGTCAAAGGAAGATTAAGGAGTTCATACCCCAACTGAGCTTAAAAAAAAAAAATAATGAAAAGAGAAGACCCAATTACAGTTCTGTAGAGGGGAAAAGAACTTCTCCCAGCCATTATTATTTTTTCTTTGTGCTGCAGTGTGTTTCCCAGCTGTGTCTGTTGGCTAGTTTTGTGGCTCAAATAGCCTGGAAAAAAAAAAAAAAAAAGAAAGAAAAGATTGAGAAATGGATGGGAGAAATTTAATTCAAGCAGCAATGTCTGTGTAGGATTGATGGAAGGAGTTTACAAGTATCTGTTGGGTGGTGAGGATTTACTGAGGGGGTGGTTGGGTGCAGGCAGAGGTGTTGTTTTTTCTCATGTTTTAGCAATAGTGAGAGGAGAACAAATGGCTCCAGGGAGATTCACCAGCAAGGACCCATGTATGCAAAATTCCTTGAAAGATTTGGGTGCTGAGTGGTGGTTCTGCACCCAGACATCTCCCTCAGCTTCAGCAGAACTGCACAGGTGAGTGTGGGTAAGAAAATCGCACAAAGACACCCTTACCCTTCACCAGCATTCCTTTGCTGGGTTTTCCTCTGCAAGCAAATGCTTGTCAGCAGCTTGGAAGATGTAGGAAAGCCTCTGAGCATGAGGATTTGTGATGCTGTGCTGTCCCTGCAGGACCCCAGGGCCCAGCTGCAGGGATGACAGGGGCATGGCACGGCTGACATGAGATCTGGAGCAGTTTTTGGGGCAAGCCCAAATCTGGACTACCCAGAGCTGATGAGCAAGTGGAACAGAGAAGTCATGGAATTAAACCTCCTTGTTTTCAGCAGGACATCCAGTTGATTGTTTATATCACACTGTTGTCAGGCTTTCCTCAGTGCTTTGGCTTTGGTCTGCCCTCTCCCCCATTGCATGACACACCCCACAAATGCAAACCAACAACCAGCTCTTCTATCAAGGACATTATACTGCAGGAAAATAAAAGAGAAAAGAAGAAACCGAGTCAGAGGGGCCAAGTGGTCTGGTCAGGGTTACTCACACCTCAGTGGCAGAGTCAGAAATAAACTCAGGCTGGGGAATCACAACCTGATGCCCTCCAGACTATGGAAAATACAACTAAACTCTCAGCTGTCTTTGCAAAGTGAGGTATTGGGGATTTTTTTCAGAATTGATAGGGACAAGAACTAACTGAGTCTGTGTAGCATTTGTAGTATGTAATTCCTTTTCATGAAATAGTTTTGGCATCATCCAGTCAGGGAACTGTGGAAAGCACAAAATGATAGGCATTGCTATTGGAGTGGGATAAAGCCCCACTCAAATCTGTGAGCAGCTCCTTCCAAGTCCTGCCCTGTAAATGCCTGCACCAGGATCATGGATGCAGGTGAAGCCAACAACAATCAGGAAGGACTGTGGAGGCAAGCTGAGACCTTTCCAAAAAGGTGTTGGAGGCTGGCAGTGCAGCTGTCCTGGTTCCTGTGCTGGCACCTGGCATCCTGGCTGGCAGAGAATCTGGGGTGCAGATGGGCTTCCCCCCACTTTCAGGCATTACCACCCTAAGTACATAAACCCCCGCACCACGGACATTTCTCAGCCAGGGCTCCCCTCCCTGGGCTCTGTTGTGGATGAGGGGTGCCCTCCCAGAACTGGGGGATGCAGGGAAGGGGGTCACTCCTGGAGGAGCTGAGCCTCTGGCCCCTGCAAACCTCACCAGAGCACCTCTCTGGTTTGCCTAGAAAGGCCTCCAAGCTGGGCTCCAGAAGACACCAGCAGTGCTCTCCTGCTTTCTTCCAGCTGTGCTGGCAAATCTCTTTCCTGAGCACTGATGGGAAATGAGAAAATACAGGCACAGCCCTGGCCTTCACTGGAACGACAGTGAGCCCCTCTGTGACCCCACTCCCCCACGCCAGGCCCCTCCAGCCCAGTTTTATGGGTGAGAAGGATCAAAGGGCTCCAAGTGCTCCCATATGGCAAATGGCCCTATACGTTGTGTATAATTACACACAAGCATCCCCACATCCATGTTCTGTCTCTATTAAAGATCCCTGGGCAGCAGCCAGCGCTGTTTTCCCAGGACAGGAACATTCCAGACGTCACGGCAGTGGCGTCACACTCTCGCACGCACGGCCTGGGGGCCAGGACGCACCTGCCCGAGGCACGGGATCCCCCCCACTGCCCTTGTCCTGCCTCCCAGCACTGGGATGGGGCAATTCCAGGGGCAGTGGAGCCTTTCCTCTGGACACCAACTGGGAAAGGTGTTTTCCAGCCACAGGGTGGCAGCTGATGGAAGCCTTAGTGGTGAGTTAATGCTGCCTGGGTGAGTCTGACTCTGACCTTCCTTGAAATCAAATTTGCTGCGTGAATAGAACTTCCCAAAGGGGATGTTTGCTTTTTATTAAGACTGGGCAGAAACGGGAAGAAAATCAGACCTTCAGTCACTTATTTTAGGCTGCTTTAATCCTTTTTTTTAAAGCAGTGGCTGCATGTGTGCATATGGCAGCCCTCAGGGCAGGACTGTCACCCCTCACCGGTGCTGGAACCTGGAATGGCACTGGTTGCACCAAAAAGATCATCTGCCACTGGAGACTTTGGGAATAGGAGGCTCAGGCCATAGGAAACAGGTTTTTTCTGATTTTAAAGGCTGACCTCTCTGGAATGCAGTTCTGCCTTGCTAGCTGGGTAGAAGGAGGCATTTTCCTTGTGGCACCAAGATGGAAAGGAAGTGAGGGAGAAATGGATGAAAGAGGTATGAAGGAGGTCTAAAACTGAGACACAATATTTTTTATCTCATGTTCAGTCAGCATAAAAAAAATTGGGAGATTCAGAGGGAAGTAGCCCTTGGTTCCATAAATTATATTTGACTTGGGAATGAAAATCCCAGTTCCCATTTTCAGCTTCATGGTGAAGCTTTGTGATGGCACCCAGAGGTGGGTGGTGTAGGGTCTGCATTGAGCCTGGTCACCCACCACCTCCAGATTTCTCCCTGCTGTTTGCTGGGCCAGCTCATACCAGATATAGGAAGAAAGCTTATTTTAGCAGAGCCATCTTACTGGGTAGGTCTGTGATGGAGCAGAAGGGCACACAGTCTGCTGTCATTGCAGCCTGTAAGTGCCAAGCTGCCATCCCTGGTCATTCTCCTGGGCTGGAAATGGAGAAGTTCAATCACCAGAGTGAGTGCTCAGGTCAGCCTGAGTTCATTTCAGGCAGGCTCTGTTGCACATATGGGATGTGTTCCATGTCAGCATGCACCACTGCAAAACTGGCACTGCAGACTCCTGGGATGAACTGGTGTCTCAGATGAAGCTCACACAAAGATCCACATGAACACCTGGGCTGATATGGGAACCTCCTTTTCATAAATACAACGACTGTGGAACTTGGGTGGTGCCTGACTTTTGTTTTTAACTGAAGAAATTCCTCCCTCCTTCCCCTTCCAGCTATTCTTACCTTGGGTCACCTTCTGCAGGAGCTTGTAGCAGATCTCATTAGGGATTTTCCATCAATGAAATGTTTCCAGGCAGAAAATATACTGGCAAAGGAAAGCCTGTGTTTTGGGGTGGTCTGCCCAGCTAAGAAGAACTAACAACCAGTTTTTTTTCTTCAGGAAGATTCCCCTGCTTCTCAGAGGGAGACCTTTGGCCATGACTTCCTGAAGGACTGAGTTTCTCCCCCATTTCTGTGAAGGGTTTCCTGAGGGTCACCCTGATCCTCTACAGACCCAGCAGGAAAGAACATTTTCCTTCTTTGCTCTCTACTTTCCCCTATTGTGTGTTAGCTGGCTGCTGTGGTTGGACTGACAATGCTGAATGCAATGTTGATACCTGGTTTGAGTCCAAGGAGTGTTTTATTCAAGTAATTAGTTGGGGAAGTAAAAGCCTTCATTGCTGTGTTTTTTCAGGGACTGGTGTGTTAGGTTACCTGCTGAGTTAGAGAAGTTACCTGTTTGGTTGTTTTGGGTTTTTTTTTCCCCAATCCTAGACTTGTGATAGCCTGAGAAAAAAAACCTGCCTTTGTAGAGGAACCCTTTAAAAACAGCCACAGGCACTCCCACCTTTTTCTGCTCAGTAGCCCAAGGGAAGAGTTAATTAAAAGTTCCTTCAAAATATACTCCTTACCACTCTCCTGTGTTTCAAAGGCTCTGGTGCTGTGCCAAAGTGGGAGCAGGCATACATTAAAGTGACAGGTACAAAAGAGGTTGTTATATTCCTTGTGCTCCCTCCTTCTCTGATCCCTCCAAGCTAAAGCCCCATAACCTAAACATTATTGAAAATGAAGAATAATAGTCCTTCTTCTCCCCTGCCTGTATAACAAGCAGATCATAACTGAGGGTTTAGCTTTTGCATGCAGCCTCCTTGGACACAGGTTCCCAATCCCCTTGGGAACATTTTCCTGGAAAGAGCAGCTTGGTCCCACCACAGCTCTGCTGGCAGCACATCCCATGGAAGGCTGCCTGTGCCAGGATGATCAGGCCAGGACACCTTGATATCTACCAGCTTCTTGTTAAGAGCTGAGATAATAAAAAGTATCCCTCTTTATTGGGATACTTTGAATTTTCTGAGGGCATCCATACACATCAGGCTTTCTGAGCAGCACATCCCAGGTGCTACTGACTGCCAGCAGCACAAGCCAATGTTGGGTTAAGAGACAGTGATTTCAGAGAAAAAGGTGGGATCATCACTTCTCCAGCCTAAGATGGAAAGGTAATGACAGCCATCTCAAGGCAGTAGGAAGAGATAAACATCCTTCCCTGAAGACTGAAGAGAGAGGAGCATGAATTGGAGCACATTAAATTAATCTAGCAGCTTGGCATGGACTAGCTTCCCATTTTCACAGTAAATGGGAGCCTTATTCTGTCAATGTGCTGAGGATTTTATTTCTAGAGATTTATAGCCACAGGTTCTGGAGTGCTCTGTAATTACATGAGTTTACACTTGCAGGGACAAAGGCTGAGTAAATATTTTATTAGGCAATTTTTTATCTTATTGAAACTAAATACTCATGTGATAATTTGCCTGGTGAATGGGAGAAGGATAGTGAAATAAATAAGATAGTTTACACAGAGCCTTTTTTTGTGGGCTGCATGCAGAATCAGCAGCCACACAGGCCCAGGAGTGACACCAGGAGTGACACCCATAGCCAGAATGAGAGCCTGGGCAGAGCCATGAGGATTGGGCCACTGCTGGGGGGTGAAATGTGATATCCCACAGGATAAAAGGGACACTGGAATCCCTAACAGATATTGTCCTGGGACAGATGGATTTTTTTGGCCTTGTGGGTACCTGCCACCACACCAACACAGGCTGAAAACACCAGGTGCCCTTCTGAGGGTCCTTGAGGGATGCTGGCACTGCAGCGTCACACTCTGCTGTTGATTATGACAGAAATAATAACCAAATAAAATAAACATCAGCTTTTACCCAGGGCCTCTTGTTACTGCAAATTTGTCTGCTGTGGAATCATCCAGCTAGTGGAGCTGTGGAACAGACTTACATGGGAAGTGCTGTACAATTACTTGGGACACTGACCCATGAGTGCAGCAGGTTTATTTCACTGCAGTGGAGAAATTATTGCAGAAATTGAAGTATTCAAGAGCTCACCAGCAAGGCTGCTCTGAAGTTTACAGTTCTCACAAAGGTGAGGGAGATCTTACAAGAGGAATGCTTCATTTTGTGGAAGTTGCTGAAATGAAATGGTTGTTACTGTCTGGTAGGTAAGAGGCCCTGGAAGCCAGGAATGGATGGAGCCAGCTGTGCTCACTGCTCTTCTCCTGGGCTGCCCCATGCTGCAATTCTGTGGTGTTGGAACAGTTTTTACTGTCATTTTTGGAACCCTGAGAGCAGGTCCCAACCCTGTGGCTCCTCTGGCAATGAAATCATCTTGCTCTGACACCACAAAGCCAAGAAGGTGCTGGCACTGGCTCCTTGGGGTGCTCCAGGGTCTGCTTTGCTCCTCAGCCCCAGTTTGCCAGTAGCAGTGGGGCAGAGGCTTGTGCCATTCAGTGCTGGGATCCTCAGGAGAATCTTTGAATTTACAATAAGTATCTACAATAATATTGCAGTTACACTTTGCATGGACAGAATATGGCCTGCCTGGGAAGGAGCCCTTTGATTTTAAAACAATTTACAATGACGGGTGAACTTCCAGCAGCTTCCTGATGAGCAGATAATAAATGTTTGGATATGGCAGTTGTATGTGAAACTCATATTTGAAACTCTTGGTGAAGAAGCATTGGTATAGCATATTTTAGCAGCAAGATATTTATTAAGCATCTTCACAGACCCATTTAGAATTGACAAAAAAACAAAGATTACTATAGCATTTCTGAGTTTCATATTATTATTCTATTCACAAACAACTGCAGCCTGTTATAAGTCCCACAGCACAAAATTTTCTAAGAATAGTCAAGGAACCTTAGAATTAATTTATAAAATTTGGTAATCATTCACAACTTCATTAAATACTCAGATGCCTAATAATACATTATTCTTATCTTGATTTTAAATTTTAATTGCATGAAGTTTGGTCCCTCAATAATTAACACTTTGTATATCCCACCTAATTCATGAACTAATTGTAATTTCCTAGTTCTTAATGTTACTCACTAATTCTGCCAGTGATAAAGAATTGTATGTCAGAACTCCAGAGTAAGTGACATTCTACATGCACAATAATGACAAAACAAGTTAATTTACTGCAAAGTTGCTGAAAGACAGAGCTTTTTTAATTGCATATTTGTTACCTTCATTAAAAGGTAAGTGCCTCTTCAGTTATGTATTTGCCCATTTCTTACACATTAAAAAAAGTGCTAATGAACCTGATTAAAATTAATTGAAAAGGTCCAAGATCTGCAAAGAGATCCTAACACCAACAGACTTCTAATTACTGCTGAAAGATGGACCTAAATGGGGTTTAGCAGGAGACAGAAAATCGTTTTCCAGCGGGGAATGCGAAAGCAGCGCAAGAACTGAAGCGCCTGGTTATATCAGAGAAAATTCAGAGTGTCTGGACACTATTTCCTCTCCCTCCTCCCTGCTGAGAGCTGCTCTTCCTGCCCATGTCCCCTGGCTGGGCAGGCTGTGTGACAGCTGCACAGGGCAGGGCTGCAGCTCCAGCCCCTCAGCATCAGCTGGGAGGTGCCAGGGAGAGCCTGAATTTGGGCAGATCCAAGGAAATGCCCACAGAAGCGTGGCTGGAGGAGTCAGGGGAAATGAGATGCTGTGGATAGAAAGGGGGAAAGATGCAGGAGAGGGATGGGTGCTAGGGGGAAGGCTGGGGAATGGTACTAGATGGAGAATCCTGAACCCTGCAGAAGTTGGGCTTCAGACTTGTTTTATCCCACCCTGAGCATTCCTGGAAGCTGTGGTAGTGCTCACAGCCATCCAGGATGCTGGGAGACAGCATTCCCTGCCATACAGGCCTTATTTACACTGCCAGGGTGAAAAGTCTTGTTGATTCAGGGAGTCAAGGCCTGCTTCAGGCACCTTTCTGACTTATTGGAAGCATTTTATCCTGCTGGTTTTGTGTTTTCAGCAGTCAAAAACCTCACTAAGCCAGAAAATGGAGTTCATTCCTTGTTATCAGCAAGATTTCTGTCTAAGGTGGGGAGATGGCATAATTATGTGTTTATAGCAAAAATATAGAGGTTGTCTTAGACAACCGTCAGTCTCAACAGACAACTTTATTACTGTAACCACACCCTTTATAGCTGCCCCTTTTCTTCTGTGCTTCCCCACTACCCATTGCCATTATTCCAGGATATTCTAATCTTATAAGAACTATTTTTTTCCTCTCTGTTAATAACACACACCACTTATCTTACTACCACTATATAACTGTGAAAGAAGAGAGAAACATATGAACTATTTTAATTTTTTTTGTTTTGATTGAATTTAAATCACTGAATGAAAAAATAGCTTCTTCTAGTAATTCTGCTGTAACTAACTCAGTTTGATATTGGTTCTATTAGCCTTCTAATAGCATGAAAGCTAAAAAATTAAATCGTTCCACTTGCACATTCATAATTATGTGCAATTAAAATCTTTACATACCCAAAAGTCTTATATGAAGCCCTGAACCCTTCAACTGTCACTCTTCATTATCTCCAAGCCTAACAATTTTACAGTGACACATTGTACACAATGAGATGTGCTAAAGAGGAAATATTATATTTTACTGATGTATGTGTTCTTTTAATTTCTCTGAATTAGCTTTTTGATATGGATGCTAATTGTTTTCTTTGAAAGGAGTCGCCACAGATATGTGATTTCTCTATGCCTGTTGCGCTTCAAAAAAAATACAGTTAATTGCAGGAAACAGGAATTTCTCTCTTTTTTTATATATTAAAAAAAATAATCAGCTGCATATCAAAGGAGTGAATCTTAATCCAACTTTCTGATTGTACATTAAAAAGAAACCTTCAGTTTGTGACCAGCACAGAGTATTTGGCGACTTTTGATGTTTCCCCTTTTCATTTATTCATGAGGCGAGATGAATAATTAAAACAGGACGTTTGGCAAAACCGACGCGCACACAAAAAAATATTTCCATATGAACTTCCAGTTCCAGCCCACGACAGTCTAGGAGACACGTTACTGCAGGGTTGTCCATATGGCAAGTGTGCAGGGAACTCTGAAACCATAGACCTGGCCCTGACTTGGGATGGGGCCATCAGTGGCTGACAGCTGTTACTGCTCCACAAATGCAAATGCTGCCTGTGGGGGACACGAGAGTGGCAGAAAGGTGGAATTTAGGCCCAGTCCTGGGTGTGAGGAAGCCACTGATAATGTGTGACATGCAGGAGGAACCTGGGTTACAGCACAGAAACATCCCTGATGGAGGAGCAGGTTGCTCCACACTCTCCAGAGACAAGGTCCTTGGGATGGAGAGGGAATGTTTGCTCTTTGGTTTCCCACAGGCTGCTCACCAGCTAAATTTAACATTTAGTTTCAGCCACAATGTTACAGCAAGTGACACTTTTCACCCTAAATCTCATAAAAGGCTAATTTGACTTAGCTCTTATTCACTATAAGGAAATATTATCGGGAAGTGACAATATATCATGCATAGCAAAATGTCTTGAGCAGTCTGAGCTGGGCTGCCCTGTCTCACAAATCTTCAAAGGAACTTGTGTGTTTTACTCGTCACATCCTGCTCTATTTCACATCTCTGAGAACTCTGCAGCTGAAAGGCTCCTTCTCTTCATATCTAGCTCAGAAATTCCCCACTGCTTCTGACAAAAGTCTACATTTCTGTTTGCAACCTTTCTAAATGTATTCTTCAATTTTTTTTGCAGAGCTGCAGTCCTCCTGAGCAGTGAGCTTGTGCAGCAGTGTTGGAATCACAAGTGGAAAGGACTCAGTGTAATACTCCATCACTGTATGTAACTGTCTCTTTAAAATTTCCCACAAATTTTTCTCATCTGGGAAAATTACAAATATTTAATTTTTTTTTTCATTTTATATCTGCAGTCAGGATTTAGCTTCTTACACAGACAAAAGGACAAAAATTCCAGAATGTGGCTGGTTTGTGCTCGTCTGTGCACACTTTCAGGATGCCTCTGGAAAACAAACTCTAGTTTCACTCTGTCTCCTCTTGGAGCTTCACCTTTGCCTCTGCATTTCCTGAAGTGGAGTCTGTGGTTTCTGAATTGTTTTACTATGACTTTGTCTTGTTTTCCCTCCAGAGCTGTGGTCTTTGCTTACATTCTCTGAATGGCAAAGCCCATTTGTTTCTTTTTATACTTCTGTCAGCTTAAACTTCCATCAGCCCTCTTCTCTGCTTGGGGTCTCTGATCCCTACTCAGACCTTATCTCAAATTAGGGATTCCACAGGCTTCTGTAAAATGAGGATCAACTTAAATTCTCAGATTAAGTAAAATGAATAATTAAAATAAAAATTCTGTCTCTATTTTTCTGTTCCTCACCCAATGTGAGGATCATCTCCTGTTTCTGATCTGAAAATATAATTTTAAAAGCTAGCTTTTCCCTCATTGACGTTTTTGGTAGCTCCACCTGCACAGATTTCTTTCTCAAACTTTTTCCTGAAGCCCATGAACATTAGGATGGGGGAAGCTGAGTACAGAGATTTGTTCCATATTCTCTCTGTGGCCTCAGGGCATATTTAACAGTGTGGTAGAAAGACAGTTTCCCAGAGACAATCTTCTTAGAAATTAATAAAATTTTAATAACATTTATAAAATTAATCAAAGTTGTTTTGTTTTTCCCAGACTCCCTTTACTCATTCTCACAGAAATTTAGTCAATGGCTATGAGCAGATGAATCCTCACCAAGTGTGAATTCCCTTCCCCTGAGCTCTGTTCTTCCAACGTGTCCTGACTGCCCATTATGGGCATGGAGGACACAGACCCACCATCCAAAAGAGAAATATTTAACGGGGTGACTGTAAAAGAAGTGATCTTGTGGTGTTTTCTTTTCCACAGAGACTTCCTGAGGGCTTCTGTGTGGAAGACTAACTCCCTTTGCTTATATTGTTATTAATATAAATAAGTTGATTAAGTGTCTTGTTTAAATTGCATTTATCACATTCATCCTTGTTGAAAAACCCTCTTCAAAAATCTGAGTGGCTGGAGCATTTGAAGAGAAGTGTTATACTCACAAGAGTGATAATGAGATAGGTGCAGCTGGGAATCAGGTATATGAGAATTACTGAACACTTGGCAAAGACTGTTATTCTCTTTCTCCCCCTCTTCCCCTTCTAATGAGTAAAAATAAATTAGGACAGATATTTGTACACCACCAACAGAAGCTTGTTTGTTATGTCTTACACAGTTCTTTCAGGTTGTAGGTTCTTTTTAATTTCTTTTTTTTTTCCCTTAAATTACTGAGGTGTATTTTCTAACACCTCTTCATGCCATCCCTTTCCTGGGAAATTGATGGTGTCTATGACCCTGTGCCTCCACACAGGAACCTCAGCCTTTCCTTGGATGTCACCTACATTTTTTCTGAGATTTTGATCAACACATATATATTTTCCTTTCTACATTGTGAATATGGTAGTGGCCTAAAGCAAGTGGAAAACAGCCCAGCCCCCTGTATGGAATTTCCCAGGACAAGCTGGGTATGGCATAGCTTCAGTGCCCCTAGTCCTAGTCTCCTAGGGTCTCCTAGTCCCAGATGAGTGGAGGCAGAAGGCATCAAGAGCATTGAGCACTCAAACTCCTCTGGGCTGAAGGGACATCCTCTGTGCAGTTCTCCAGCTCAGAAGATAAATGAGACTCTGGTAGTCTTCTGAAATTCTTTTGCCCAAAGAAGGGATAAAATTGTTTTCAGCGGCTCCAGAATCCGTGAAATAATGTAAACAAGAATCATGATTCTTCTTGCAGATCCATTGATCCACATGTGTGGTAAGAAAGATTAAGGATGAGTTTCTTGTAAACCCATCACTGAGGAGTTTTAACCACCTGGTGCAGGAATAGCTGTTCCATGAGTCATGTACAGCACGCACAAATCCTCTCAGCAACCACAGCCAGAGGGTTACACAAGCCCCATTCAGCACCACCCCTTCTCGTGTGGGTTCTGCCTTGCTTTCTTGGCATATTCACTTTGAAAAGATTGATAGAAAGATGAAAATATAAGAAAGAAAAATGGCAACATAAAAATCTGCTTTATGTTTCTAATTTCTTGTTCCTGTTAGTCACTCTGGTCATATCCTCAGCTAAGTGGAGTCTAACTGAACAATAGATCAGCCTGGATGGCAGCTCTGCTGCTGTACTACCAACCCAACAAACAGCATTTTTCCTTCTAGCAAGTTCCTTTATCAGACCAGTAACAAGATGTCATATAGATGTTAAAAGATTATCCATTAGTAAAAATACTCCAGAAGAAAATCAATATATTTAGACAGCATTCCTACTTGAGTAAGAAAGAAATGCTGTTGCAGGCGTAAGAAATCAGCTCAAGAGTTCCTAGGAATGTGTTGTTGAATGGGTTTTTTTTGGCCTACAATCTGTTGAGCACATTTGCTCCCACAGTTGCATCTCTGCCACACCACGGTGTCGAGGCACGTAAGGCTCGGGGGGACAGTGAGGATTCACTGCAATAAAAAATTGAACCATCACAGAGACCTGCTCCAGTCACCCAGGCACTGACAACTGACAGCAGCAGCAAAAGTCCTGGGCAGAGCTGCAGCTCTGGGCCCTCACCTGCCACAGGCTGAGCAAACAGAGGCAAAAGCATCCCCTGGTTACAGGTTTCCTCCAGTTCTGCCCAGCTTTGAATCTGTGTATCCCAAAATGTTTTCCCCAGTCTTTTACTCTGGACATCCCTCTAACGTGGGAGATGGACTTGGAGAAAGCACCTGAATGGCCTCAGGAGACATTGGAATTGAGTCTGCCAGAAGAATCTGAGGGAAGGGTCACAAGGAGGGGACAGATATGGTGACTTGGCATCATGAAGGAAACTTCAAACTTGTCTCACAAGTCTGCTTGGAAGATAGGGCTCTTAAAAACAACCTCTCACCCCAGTGCTGCAGGACCTAGTGCTGCTGTGGATGACCAGGATATTTCCTCCCAGAACAACAAAGAAGAAAAACCAAAGTTCTGCATTTGGTCGCTGAACTGAGACATTTCTGTTAATCCCAAAAGAAAAATATGCATTTCAATCCCCAGTGTTAAAGTCATGAGTTCTATTTTTTCATTTTGAAATAAAAAGTTTTTAACACAAATCTAAAATTATTTTTTAACAATTTGACAAAAACAACTTTTATTTTGTTGTTCTTCTGAAATTTCACTGAATCTAATGCAAAGTCACCACTTTTTTGTGTTTTTTCCAGTTTACTCTCCATTGAAAAAACACTGAAGGGCCCTGAAAAAATTTAAAATGGACAGTTCCTGTTGTTTTCCTGTGAAAGAACAGTGAGTGACTCAGGTGGAAATCCCTGGCAGAAGGAATAGGTGGTTCCTGCCCTGGAAAGATATTGAGTCTGTTCTGAGAAGTTTCCAAACAGAGGTGAAGCAAGCAAGAAAATGAATCAAGAGTCTGCAAACAGCAGATGCCATGTAGGAGACAGTGAGAGTCAGCAGACAGGTGAGGCAGGACCTCAGACACATTTCAAGATCAATTTTATGTTTTCCCTGATATTAAAAGTCAGAGGACAGCTCTGTGTAGCTGCAGGAAGGCTCCAGATCTTTAGATTTTGAAATGAAGTGTTTGTAGATCGCTGAAGATCCAAATTATGCCAAAATTATGTTATTAAAGCGTAATCATCTTGTTAGCTGCTTAGAACATTTTCTTCATTATCACTTCATTCATACTTATGATGATGAACAGATGGTACCAGTGTCACAACGCAGCATAAATCACTCCCAAATGTTGTTTGAAAACACAGTTGGAAGGTGGTAGGGACATCCTCCTGCTGATGAGCCTGGCTCACTCTGCTTGCTCTAAGAGGAATTACACAAACCTGCTTTGCCACTTAACCTGCTGGCTGCTGGCACCAAAACGCTGCCAGCCCTGTGCCAATGCAGGTTGTAGTCATACTGAGAATGAAGTATATTTATATTTCCAGCAAAAACTGGTGAATTTAAGCCCTGAGTAGCCAAGGAAATGGTGCAGTTGGAAGATGCCTGTTGCAGTTTTAGCAGCAGTGGAGCTGGGCCTGAGAGGGGAGCAGTGGGACTGTCCCAGGTGCTCCCTGCACCCACAGCCCAGTGCTTGGTTCAGAGGGAAAACCCAAAGTTCAGGTTTATTCCAGAGATCAGTGCTCTTTCAAAAATAAACCCCATCATTAATCCCTGCAGTATCTCCCAGAGTGCCTGCACGCTGCCCAAACACACACTCCAGACCCCAGTCCCCAAATCCAGGAGACACAGCTGGAAGTCAAACCCAGAGGACCAAAGCAAACAAAGGTGCACAGGCACAAAACCCCCATGGAAGCCGAAAAACAGCTACCATAAAGCTACTGAAACCTATTTAAAAAAAACTCAACCAAACAGAAAACCAAAGGAGCAAAAAATGATTGTTAACACTTCTCAAAATTATACAATATAGAATTTTTCCAATTCCTTCTTCATCCTAATTCTGTCTCTCACCCTCAAGATGCACCAAACATGGAGCAGAGCCTTTGTTTCCTAGGTGTAATCTACATTACTCAGGCCAAAAGAGCAATTTGATCTCTACCTTCAGCTCAAGGGGGGTGAGTTTTGTCACTGCATGAGGTAAGAACCCCCTGCTTAGGTTGTTAGAAGTATTTACATCTCTAATTCCCCTTGATTTCCCTTTGTAAATTTGGTTTTAGCTCTCAGAAGAATTTCCTCACATAAATCTTTTACCAGCCACTAGAGGGGAATGTACAACTCAGTGAGAAGGGAGACAGTGACATGGCATTAAAGTTGCAGCCAGTTTGCTCTCTCAGATGGAGCATTTAGTGTCATGCTGGATCTTTACAATTTTTAGGAGCTAATTTCACGTTTATCAAGTGCTTTGCTATTTTACTCTTTTCTGTCATATTGATTCCTCTCACCTTCTGCCAGTTTAGGCTAGTTTATGTTAAAGTCAGGGACTCTTCAGGTGAGAAAAAGATCCTTACAGACACTTAATTTGATGCTTAATACCCTCATAAGCCCATAAATCATGCATTTGAGAATGTGATCTCCACTGAAACACTGTCCTATTCAAAATTGTTTACAGTGTATAGCAAGTACAGCATTTCTATCCCAGGAGAAATGTTGGTATTTCAGCTTTTCTCTCAATTTAAAACGGTATTGAAAGTAAGATTCAGATTTTTTTTGTGTGTGTGGGATGGAAATTCCACATTAATTCTAGTTCGGAAATGACAAACAGATTCATTTGGGCGTTCCTCTACCAGAATGAAACTTTCAGCTCTTTTGAAACGGATGTTTTTTTTTTTACTCCAGTCTCTGATAAAACAATGTGAAATGTCCTGCGTCAGGAATGCGTTCCTCGGGAGCGGATGGGAGCCAGGCACTGCTGCACTGGAACTGGGATCTGCCCTTCCCTGCAGCCCAGACTTCCTGCAGAAGGGACTGGAGCATCTCTCTTGCAAGGAATGGCTGAGGGAGCTGAGGATGCTGGGCCTGGAGAGGAGACAGCTGAGCAGGAACCTCATCAATACATACAAATATCTTAGGGGTGGGTGTCCAGATCACCTTCAGTGGGATAGAACGAGGGGCAACAGGCACAAAATGAGACACAGGGAGTTCCATCTGAGCAGAAGGAAAAACTTCTGCTCTGTGAGGGGGACTGGGCACTGGAACAGCTGCCCAGAGAGGCTGTGGAGCCTCCTTCTGGACATTTTCCCACCTGGACATGATCCTGTGCATCCTGTTGTAGGTGCAACAATGCCTGTGCTGTCAGTGGGATTGGGTCAGATGACCTCCAGAGGTTCCTTCAAACTCCAACCAGTCTGTGAATCCATGATTCAGAATATGTTCCAAGTCAAATGAAACAGTTAATTCCATTTTTATGTGTAAATTGCAAATATTCAGTGAAAAAAATCTTTCCAATAGAAAATTCTGATCTGGCAGTAACTGCATTTTTATTAGGGGAAAAAAATACTCTTAAAAAAAATAATTATTTATCGTCCTGATAAAAGATTCTCAATCATCTCTGGTTATTTGCATCAGAGATTTACATTTCAAATATATCTTGTTCATGAGCCAAATTTTTGGCAGATAGGAATTAGCAGGTTCAAGTCAACAGAAATAGAGGGACTGACCAAAAAAAGAAAGGAATATGCATCTCTACATTTTCAAATGCTCTCTCCTGATACCATATAGATGCACACTGAATTAAACTGTTCTGCAAAGAGGCTTTCATTCGATCACTAGAAGGTCACAGTACCCCTTCAGCCTTCTCCAAACCCCAAAAATCCCCATGCATGCTCTCTAGGAGATGTGGAGCTCCCATACATTGCTGAAGTTGGCCTCTACCTACAACCTCCTGAGACATAATCTCTGGATTTGCCCATGGCACACTCCTTATGGCCCAACAGAAACTTTGCCATGCAAATAAAAGCAGGTGCTTGACTTTGGACCCTCAGCTTTTGTATTCAGAGCACAGTTTGTGAGGAGATGAAGGCAGAAGTTTCAGATATTTCTCTCAAAAAGGGCAGGTAAAACTCTCCACTTGAATTTGCCATGTTTTAGGTGTGTCTTCTGCTGGGGGCCCCGTGAGACCACTCCTGTGTGTGGTGAGTGGCCTCGAAGTTAGACCAAAGCTCTTCATTGGTATTCAGCTGATGCCAGGGAAGCACTAGTAGGAGCTGATGGAGCAGACAACACACACTTCTCTAAAATTATCACATTTAGTGTGATTCCCATAATAAAATCATGAGCCAGCATGGGGAGCCTCCTTCAGTTTACACAGGGAGACTTGGGGTCTCCAGACAGTCAGAACAGAGCCAATGTTTCTGAGTAAACTTTGTCAGGAAAACAGATTAAAAACTCTAGAGGCTTAGCTAAATCTTATGCAGGAAAACACCTTGTTACCCTCCTGATTTAGAATCATAATTTAGTGCCAGTGAATAATACATATTGAGTGGCGTCAATTATGCCTTTGTAACAAAGTTTACACGATGAATTTTTTCTTTCATCTAAAATGCACAAAATTGGCTTTTCCCTTCTGATTATTATTATTTCACTGTGACTAGTTGTGCAATAGTTGCTACAACCAAGTTTTGATGGCTCATTAATGAGTTGTTTACTGCAAATAGTCAATTCTCCATATGTAAATTCTTCTGGTTGGACACATTAGCCTTGTCATATTGATGTGCCTCTGACTGAAATATTATCACATCTAGAATTAGCATTTAGGTTTTAAAGCAGTGGAAATAAGCCCCCCTGCATTCAAGAAAACAAGAAGATACTTCCTTAAAACTGTCTCTTTAAAATCTGCTGTAAACCCTAGTCATTCTGTTGGTGATCATTTATACAGGATGAATGAAAAAGGAGAAAAGAACTCCTCCAGTCTGAGATGGATTTGCAGTCTCAGATTCCCATTGATTTCTAGCTCTAACCAAGTATTTACCTCCATTTTTACCTGTAAGTAGTGGTGTTAACTGCTGCAGTTCACCCTTTCACATTGGTACCATGGGGCAGATGGACTTGCACAGTCTGATGCTTTAAAGCCTGTCCTGAGACGTGGTTACCCCTGGAGTCTGGACCCATGGCTGCTCTTGCTCCATGGCTTCCTTGACCTGTGACCAGAATCTGCCAGACCAGGGAAGGATCATGCTGGCTTACAAAACCAGCAGTTCAGGTTTTATAATCCCTTGGAAATGTGAGCGCTGGATGCAGCCAGAAACTCTTACATTAATGGGAATGCTGGACATTAATTACATAATGCTGGAGATCAGCTGCTCCTCTCTCCATTTTCTGTAGTTGAAAGAGAAAGACATTTTTCTGATACATTATCACCCACATTTTTATTTAAATAAAGATGGAATTTGGATTCTTATAAGCAACATACCCATGGCAGGCTGTTGCAAACAGACCATCTTTAGGGTCCCTTCCAACCCAAACCATTCTCTGAGTCTTTACTTTCTGCTGGCTTTTCTGCCTTGTTGTACCTTCCCCAAACCCTGTTGTCCCCTCCATCCCAGAACTCCCCCCTTCTGTCCCAAAGAAAGGAGTGTGTTCATCCAGACATCCAGTACTGCATCTTACCTGAACTGAATTACTGAGTGTGAATTCTGTGTGGGCTGAAAGTGAAAATCTAAGCCACATTCCCTTTCTCCTCACTTTAGGAAAAAAAAAATCCCAAACAAACCACCCAGATTCTAACTAACTGCTCTGCAGGGATTATTTTACCTTTCTATAACTTAATTTCATTTTACCCCTGACACAATGGACTGTTTTTGACAGTCTGTATGTTCCATATATTTCAATATCCTGCTACCTCTGGCAGGGAAGAGCTGAAATTTCATGCCAGATACTGAAGGTGATGTGCCAAGAGACTTCTCTGAAAATTTGCTTAAAAAATAGAAAAAATTACCTCTATCTGCAGCAACACAACTTCCTAAGCAACTACTGGTAATAGTTAGCTAGGCAAGAAATTGGGAAATAAAAAGTGAATAGTCCAGTTCCAAATGGTACCTGACTGTTGCCTACACAGAAAAATGCAAATTACTCATGAGGAGCTCGGTCATCCTTTCACTGCAAGGCAATGTGTCAGCACTGGGTGACAAAAGCTGATGCCCTTGTCCCCCTGCTTGTCCCACACACCATTCCATGTTGCTGTGTTGTGAGTTGCCTCCAAGGTTCTCACCCTCCAAAAGACAGGGCTGAAGGTTTTGGTTTTGAGAAGGTTTTGAGACTGTCATATCAAGAGGGTTGGGGAAGGAATAGATCTGAATGTAGAGATTATGACAATCATGGCTCATTCTTTGGAAGAAATACGATCTGGGCAGGCTGAGGTCACGATTGTACAGGCAGGCAGTGAGTGATTTGCCACACTTTAAAGTCAAATTCATAATGCTCAATATTTCATATCCTGCAAAAGAAAAAAAAAATCCCCGTGATTTCACAAGTAAGTTGTTTGGCTGTTTCACAGATGGTGCTAGAAAGGAGACATTGAAATCATTTGCCTAATGCAATTGCATTACCAGAAATTTTAAGAACATCCCATCTCAATTTACTCCTGCCTCTCAGATAGAACTCCTCGCTGAGTTATTTGAAACTAGTTTATTCAAGTATGCAGTGACTCTGGGACATTTGCACAGCAATGTCAGATGCTATCTGGGAAATAAGTAGTACATTTGCAGTCTCTGAAAGTAATTTTTGATGACACCCTTAAATCAACTTCATGGTCAGTTTTCTCATTTTGAGCAAGAACTGGGATTCCATTGTGATAACTGAAAGCTGCATGTTACTTGATCTACAGTAATGTAGAATAATTACGAGTCCATTGCACTTCATTACACTACTGTAATAGGCAGCAGGTCAGTGTTTGAGCTACAGCTGCTCTGAAAATTGAGCTGACACTGATACTATGGTAGAAGTGATAGCAAAAGGCTCTCATGCAAATTGCTGAAATTAGCTTCCACTCAATGGGTTTTGAAATGCAATACATGGCTCTGATCCGAACACCTGGTTTTGACTAACATTTTTTATCTTGGATACAATGGGATGGTCATGAAATAAATTAATTGTTCCATGCAATCTGCCTTATAAAAGGTCACTGAAATGCCAGAGGATTCTAAATACCACACGACTGCTGGACTCTGACTAATAACATTCCCTAACACGCCATTGAAGGCTATCTGATGATGGTTTTATTTAATTCAGATGATTCTCACAACCATTTGCAAGCATTCTGCTCCTATATTCACAGGACATTTCATTGCATAAGACACTGCTATTTTTATCAATTTACCTAATTTGTCAAGCCTTCAGGAGAGAGAAGTAGGCAGAGGCTGTGAATAATAAGGTGCTTTCCTTTCACAGCCAGCCTGAATCTACGGATTCAGAATCTATGGATTCAGAAGGATCCCCTGTGCAATCTGTCTTTTAGTGACATGGAATGATGCATGGAATGATCCTCATTTCAAGTCAAATATTCCCACAAGATCTCCCAAGAGCACTCAGGCTAACACACCACTGACACACTCATTGCTGTTCAAAAATAGATATGGGTGTTTTTAAGGAAAATTAAATATTTCTCCTCTGAAACATTAATGTAATCAAACCATTCATTTCAGTAAGTTTAGTTCTGCTGGAAAACAATTGTCTTAGCAGACATACCACATCCACACTCTGGGGAGTGCTTATCAATACATGGAAAAAAAAGAGAAATTTGACACGTGGAGAAAGAAATCTTATCTCTAGAGTTTTTATAAAAAGATGTACATGCACATGTAAATGTTTTCTTCACTGCAGCCTGCCCAGCCACACGCTGTGTGTATCTCACAGAAGATGTTGAGTAGCTCCAGCCCTGTGACACTGGACTGGTGTGTGTTCCATCCTGTCCCTGAACAGCCTTGAATCAGCTTGGGGGATCCCAGCTAGCACCTTCCTTTCTTCTGAGCTCTGAGACTCTGCAGTACCTGCTCTGTTTCTGCCTCTGGCATTTGGTGTTCAGTGTGATGAACACAGGCCTCTTTTTCCTCAAAAACCCCTGAGTTCAGAGGAAATCCTTTGTCAGCTGCCAGCACATCATTAAAGAATAGCCACGCTGCTTTTTATATGAGGTGGAATCATTTAAAATGCTGTAAATATATTCCTGAAAATATTCCCTTAACATTTGTATCTATCAGCTCCAATACATAGACAAAGGGATATTGTGAACATCCACAGAGATATCTGAAATCTTACCCCATTAATGCACTGTGCAATGCCTTTAGATTGTGCACTTGTCTGTATCTTTCCTAACCTCCTGGGGGATTATTCCTAGAATTGACTACCACTGTTTGTTTGAACTGTTTATAAATTAATAAAAAAATCAATACCTGGTTGTAAATGCCAGCTAATCACAAATAGCTTTGTACAAATTAGAGCAGGGATATAAGAAGAAAGTAAATGGACAATGCCTGTGAGGGTGAAAAAGTCAACACTCAAAGTTCATCTGCTACCTGAATGATTCCAGAGACATTCAGCCTATTCCTGTGGTTTTGTTATTCATGAGAAATGGAAGAGGAGGAGGAGAGCTAAGCAAACATAGCCCATGCTGTATAGGCAATGAATACAAAGAGCCACTAAGCCATGAGAGTAGCAACTCTGGCAGACAGAACTGGAAAATCATCATCTGGATTTCAAAATGGAAAATAAAACCCAAAACTTTTTTACCAATTTCTGGATTGATACTTGAGAGGGAATTACCTGTCAGATTCAGCCTCATGGCTTTTCTACCTCAGGAAACACTTCTCTGGTTTAGCTATGATGATTATGGTATAGCTGTGCTGGCCATGAGGTGGGATTCACACTTACTGTACTGTAGAGTTATTAGAAGATTGATGTATTTCCTCCAAAAGTTACATCTGTGACACATGAAAACATTTCCTTTTCTCCATATAAAACAATTCTTCATCTCCATATAAAACAATTCTTTGTAAAGGGAATTCCCCAGTTTTCTCAGGTTCAAAGGATGACAACCAAAGAGAAAATAGAAATGTATCATGTCATCAGCTGTGCTTCACCTCACTCAAGGAGATCCCAGGGATCTGTCAGTACATTTGCTGCCCAGTGTCAGGCCCTGACAGGAAAGGGTCAGTGCAGGCAGCCAAATTGGCAGGGTGAGGACACAGCCTGGGACTTCTGCATCACACAGTGGGATGGACTGGGCTCCAGGAATGGCAGATCCACTGGGAAATGAGGGGTCTTCCTAAGGGATCCTCCACCTTTTGTGCTTCAGTCTGCTCGGTCCATCTCATCCTGTTTTCCTGCTTTGCAATGATAGCACCAGCAATATGGTTCAGTAAGCAGTAGTGGGGACTAAAATGTCAGTACAATACAATTTCAATGTTGTAAAGCAAAGGGACTCTGTACAGACATCCTCTGTGTCTAATAAAACCTATTTCCTGCTTAGAGTTTTGTGAGGTTTCTGTTTGGCACCATTATTTTCCACCAGTACAACTACCTGCTGAAAATGTGCTAATTTTTTTCCATTTGCCAGGCAAGAGTTGTATTCTTATTCATTTTTCTGATTGATGCAGATATATGCTCTAAAAACCCTTCAAAAAGCATTTTGTTTGGTTGGTTGGTTTTGTTTGGGTTATGTTTAGGTTGGGTTTTTGGTTGTTTGGTTTTTGTGTTTTTGTGGCTTTTTTGCGGTGTTTCCAAAATGGTAAAATCCTGTCTGAACTGATGTGGGAGCTGCTGGGCAGGACTTGCATGAAACTTCAGTTCACCTGCTTTAGGCTGTGAAAAGCAGTTGCAAAAGCAGATTGCAGCATCCACAGAAGACCCTGTGAGCACACCCAAAAACTTACCATTTTGGATAAATTGCTATTTTCATGTACTCCTTTTCCTCACAGCCACCATCCTTTCAGTGTATTTATTCTCATTTCAAATTACCAATTGAGCCTTTCATCTACAATACGAGGGACATTACCAAGGTATTAGTAGTTAAGCTGCTTTGTTAATTACAGCCAGGCTCCTCTTATTCCTGCCTGTCAGTTCAGCAGCAACAGCAGTGCCAAATGGGTCTCCACTTGCTCTGCAGTTTGTGCTCACACACAAATCTCTGGTGCCTGAGATTTCCAGGTTTGCAGTTCAGGCAGAAGACCTGCCAAGGTCACCACTCCAGGCTGAGCTCAACATCCACTCCAAAGGAAATCTCTGAAAAGTTGTGTTTGTGTCACCCTTCCCAGGCCTTCTGCAGGTCTACACATCCCGTTGTGTCCATCCTGCATCCACAAAGGGGCATGGTTATATTTCCTGTGTGCTTCTCTATTGCTTTCCACAAAATAGAAATCTTTTGGCTGGGGTCAAAGCTTTAAGCTTGTATTTCTGCAAAACTACTCACTATAACACCAACACTGTTCCTCATGCTTAAAGACAAGCAGGGCTTCAGTACATGCACAGTCAAGTGTTTTTCCATTTCCATCACAATCCATTTGCCTACATCAAATTTCAACACCAGTTCTCTTGCCCTATCACTCAAGAAGTTGATAAGGCCCTTCTTCAGGTTTTCACAGTTAACCTGCATGTTTACTATCCTGGATAATCTAAGTATCCTCAGAAGATTTCACTAAGAGAATTGCTTTATTGGTGACTGCAGGGTCTGGAAGCTCTGGGAACCAGGCAAGCCCCTAAATTATGATCCAGCAGACCTGGAGGCAGGCACTTGTCACTGCTCCATCCATCCTGAAGTCTGTTCAGATGAGAAATCTGCCAAAGCTTAGGACAGCACATTCACCAGAGTATCCATATTTAAGAGGATGGAATTTTGTGTGGTACTGCCATTTCCAGTATTTAGAAGCAAAAATAGGGGAACACAATTGTAAATGACGATATTGCTATCACTGAATCTCTTTCAAAAGACCAGATACAGTCTGCAGACAGTTGCATTGTTTATATTTTTAAAGAAAGCTCATGCAAAATAAAAAAAAAAAAAAAAAAAAAAGAAAGAACAAACTCTAATCTTTCGGGGCCAAATGATAGCTAAGGAAAAAAACAAAGCCAATTTATTTTTCCCGTCTGTAATTCTGTTTGTGAATAGAATGTAAATCAAGTTAGCTGGATAATTTGCTAAAACCCATGGATGCAATAATTCTTATGTTGTTCTAACAGAGAAAGAAAGTAGAAAATGTTACAGGGAGAGACAATATGCAATTATGTATGAATACTAACACCCTAAGGGACAAATTACCAACAATGACAGTAAAATACTGCAGATTTCTTTTTGTGCTACAGTATAATTGACTTATACTTTGACGAGAAGAAACAGCTTAGCTTTGGAGAAAATTTTAAAAGTACAAGCCATGTATTTTCTGGGGAGTATATAGCCACTGGTTTGTTCACTTTTCTTTACCTGTGATATTGACTGCATTCTTTTATTTTTAATTTATATATGTAACTTTATTTCAGAATATATTTTTTTATCTGTTCAAGAAATCATTAACCTTTTATTTAATGGTATTAATTATGTGACTTCAATTACTTAATCAAACTTAGTCAATACATTCAATGTAAACACTTTTAAAATCACATGTGGGAAGCCTCCTTTGTTGTTAAGTGAAGGAGAAATAAATCTTTCTCTAATAACTCACATGAGCTGAGCCTCAAGGGGCTGCTCCCATCCATCAACACTACACCTTGTAGAATCTGCTGCGTGGTTACAGCAACTCCTGGAGCAGGAGTTGATGTAACCTGATAAGCAGCAATCTGCAAACACCAATCTTGGGGCAGAATAAAGACCTTAATTTGAATTTTATTGTTAACTTCAAGGAAATTTAAGGAAACATAATCAAAGTGTGCTGGTCAGCATCCAAGGTATTTTTTGAGTCATATTTGCAAAGTCAACGTGATTGTTCTTCAGATTCCCTCCACTCTACTGCATAAATGCTCTGATTTTTCTAGTTTTTGTAGGGTAAAGGAGTTGTCTGTTCACAAGCAAGTTTATGTTTCATGTTTAGAGGTGTGATACTTTTATAAACACAGGGTACCTGGATGTGACCATGAGTAAGGCCTCCAAAGACTGCTTTAAATACACAGCTCTGGCAAAGACAGAGCAGTTTTGCTTGCAAATCAGTTTACAGAGTATCTTGGAATGTCTTGAACTGGTAAAGAACCAATAAACAAAACAGCAGATTCACAGCAGAGCAGAGCCAGGTTTGCTTTTTCTGTCTCCTTGATATTTTCAAGGACATTCCCTTACTAAAGGATGGAAGAAGAAAGGCAAACATATATTACACTGTTAAAGACAATTAAGTCAAATTAACTAGAAAGGTTTTGAACTGCAAAACTGGTAACTAAGTTATGTAATATCCAGAAGAAAATGGAAATTAGCAGGGCTTAGCCTAACCTAGGGAGGTACAAATTGTTGAATGTAGCACTATGCTGCATAACGAGGCACACCCCCTTGCAGGAGTCCTTAGATTAATTAAAGCTCTTTCCTGGCTGATCATCCTGACACTCCTGATCAACCTTACAGTGGAGAAAAATGACAGTTTGAACAAAAAACCTCTCTGAATCATATTCAGTCAGCAAAATTTTTCAGGAGGAAGCTATTGATGGTAACTCACTCCCCATCTGGAGCGAATACTTACATGCATGGCAAAGATATATTTTGCTCTGAAGAGACAGAGATGCTGCAGCCTCAGTCCCTATGGAGGAATTTTTGTGGAAGGCACTGAACATCAGAGCACAACAAATGCAGAGTCCTGATGAAAGCTCTGCACACTGACACAGTGTCACAGTGTGACAGAGGAGACCAGTGGTTCATCAAAGCTGCTTTTCTGTGTCTGTGAACATGGCTCTAGCCTTGCCCAGGGAGCAGTGAACATCGTTTTGCTACCTCTCACACAGGTAACAGCTCATTCAGAATGGTCCATCTTCTCTTTCTTCTGTACAGTCACAATGAGTGGGTGGAAATACTGCAGCTGAGAAATATCCATAGACATTCCAGTTTCAGCTGGAGTTAAAAACAAAGTACTGGAAAGCACTGAACAAATGTAAGTGAGACCTGATTGGCATGAACTCTGTTCTACTTGACTTAAAGCATCAACCACACCCGGTCCCAGAGCTCCCAGTTTCTCCTTCATAGCTCCTTAGGGGCTGCTTTATTGAATTCCACAGCCAGAGCAATCGGAAAAATATTTCAGATCTCAAGATGTCACTTGTACAGCATCCCATGCTGCAAATACTTGTGTTAGCACCCAAAAACCTGTTAGAACCTTACACAAACAGAAGGTATTTTGTCCCCTCATGATAATGCCATTACTCTACTGTGTAATGTACATCCAGAGTGCTGCAGAGTAACAAAGCTTTGAAATGATATCAGAAATTTGGTTGTACATCTATACCTACGAGTGGTCTGAGCACTGAAACAACTTACCTGCTCTCTGAGCAATATTAGAGTTTGGTCAGTCAGATGAATTTCCTTTCTTTGCTTTCCTGAACCAGGACTTTTAATGGGCTGAGGAGGCTGGAAGAGATTTGAGAGACAAGAAGTGAGCAAACTCAGAGCTGCTGTTGTCTATGAGGACACTAAGCATTTTCTCCCCTGTCTTGCCTACCCAGTTTAGTCAATATGCTCTTCCTCAGGCATGGAGAAAGAGAGAGATCATAGCTTGATAGCAGCAGACACAGCATCTGAGAGCAGATTAGAGGCAAAAAGAAAGTGATAGAGGTGACTTCTTCAGAACATAAGTAGTTCTCCTGTAACACTTAAGCCCTTATCAGGTTCAGGTACTTTCTCTGTGCCTTTGACCTTAAGCNAGCCCCATAACCTAAACATTATTGAAAATGAAGAATAATAGTCCTTCTTCTCCCCTGCCTGTATAACAAGCAGATCATAACTGAGGGTTTAGCTTTTGCATGCAGCCTCCTTGGACACAGGTTCCCAATCCCCTTGGGAACATTTTCCTGGAAAGAGCAGCTTGGTCCCACCACAGCTCTGCTGGCAGCACATCCCATGGAAGGCTGCCTGTGCCAGGATGATCAGGCCAGGACACCTTGATATCTACCAGCTTCTTGTTAAGAGCTGAGATAATAAAAAGTATCCCTCTTTATTGGGATACTTTGAATTTTCTGAGGGCATCCATACACATCAGGCTTTCTGAGCAGCACATCCCAGGTGCTACTGACTGCCAGCAGCACAAGCCAATGTTGGGTTAAGAGACAGTGATTTCAGAGAAAAAGGTGGGATCATCACTTCTCCAGCCTAAGATGGAAAGGTAATGACAGCCATCTCAAGGCAGTAGGAAGAGATAAACATCCTTCCCTGAAGACTGAAGAGAGAGGAGCATGAATTGGAGCACATTAAATTAATCTAGCAGCTTGGCATGGACTAGCTTCCCATTTTCACAGTAAATGGGAGCCTTATTCTGTCAATGTGCTGAGGATTTTATTT